ACGATTCGATTCTTTATACTCATGCTCTAGTTCATAGCATTGAGAACATGAAAGGTAGAACGCACCAACACCAGGATGACGTACTGATATATTAGGCCCAGTTGTAAATCTACACTATAAGCAATATAATATTTTAATAATATTATTAGAGAATAAGAAAGTTGTATTTAATTATAGAAAGGTATTATGTTTGAGATTTTATTTATAAAGCTTTGATTATAACTAATTTTCTATCTAATTTTTGATAGTTTAATCTAAAAGTACTTACGTCCAATTGTATCTGTCTCCTTCTTCGATCTCATCTACTATTAATCTTACTAAAAGTCTCATATTATAATTAATCTTAGTCAATATATCATTATTAATTTTGACACATAAGTTGAAAGATAATTTTTGGTTTTGCTCAAGGCTAGAAATTTTATTAAAATATGTTCGATAATATTAGTAAAGATAATTGTCTCTATTTCATCTTCGAATTGGTTTTCTATTTGGTCATTTGTGCTTTCTAAATGGTTATTAACAGATAAAGCTTTTTTTCCACTCTTTTATTGGACTTTGTAGTTAAACAAGCTGAGCAGATTTTGTAAGATTTATTTTTGTAAATAAATGCTTCTGGAGGCAGTAGGTGAAAGCACGAAGTACATGTTTTTGGGTCAGTCATATTTATTATTGTTAGTGCGAATAAAAAATTTAAGATTTATTATTTCTTTAAGAATTAATCAAAAGGAAGAGAATTTTATATTTTTAACCTGAAGGTAAATTATTTGTAATATCACATTCATTTCTTTTATACCTTTTAGATACAATCAAACAAAAAGCTATCAATATAATATATTTGATCTAGTTTTGGGGCTTAGAGCAATATAATGGAAGTATTTTTCATTTACTTCTCTTTACTACAAATCTTTTAATTTTTTTTTTTGTTTTTATTTATAAAATTGAACTAATATTCACATGCATTAACACAGCCTCATACTAACCAAGCTAATTTAATATTATTTCAATTCTCAATCGTGGCTTTAATTACTTTTTGTTTTCATTTAAATTAGCATCTCTAAGCATATTTATTATTAAAGCTATTTATAGCCTTATTAGAACCTAGCCAATTTTAGCTTTATTTTATTTTCGGCTTTCATAGTTTTATTTTTATTTTTATTTTTTTTGTTTGCTTTTGATATTAGCGTATTAAGAATATAAAGCTTATAATTTCTATTAATGTAATTATTAACGTGTTTGAAGATATATTAGCACAGCCTTGACGAAAATTAACTAATTTTAGTTTTATTTATTCTCGATTTGGCTTTAAATTTCTCATTCTCAATTATGGCTTTAATTAATTTTTTTTTTCTAGATTAGCATCTTTAGATCGTACTATAATTACGTTGTTAAGAATTCACAATTCATATTTGTCATATTCATTAGCACAGCCTTTTTCAGACCGACTGGCTTTAGCTTTATTATATCCTCAATTATGGATTAATTACTTTTACACCTTTAGCTATGGCTTTAATTACTTACTTTTTAGGTTAGTACCTTCGTCACTTCAAATATCAGGTCACATTATCAATGATACGTTTTTATTCAATTGGGATCAAAATACAACGTAAGACTACTATAGGCAATATGAATTTTGGCATTCACGTTATATGAATAACTAATTTTTATCATTATCTATCTTTATGGTGAAGATTCAAGATAATCAATCTGTTATGCATGGACACTTTACCAAACTCATCTGTGCCGATGGCTTAATGTTAGTTTGCTTTAGCAGATTTCAAATACAACCCAAATGTTTTTTTATTAAACTTTAGAAAGGAATTGTATGCTTGCGCTAGCATAATTGAAGTATTATATTGAGAATCAGCCCATAATTTTTTAATATTTCAATTTATTAATTTATTTATGCTAATTTTTTTTAAATTATTTTAGAATTGCTTTTTCTTGATCACAGCCCATCTTTCTACTTTTTGCACTTATTATTCGGCCAAATTAGAAAGAAATTATTGGTTATTTTGAAAAATATGATAAAGTTTCAAAATTTTAATATACATGGGCAATTAAGTTTATAGATATTATTTATATTCATATATACAAAACTCAAGTTTTACAATAATTTTGTTTTTTGCACCAGTTTAATCTAGGCTGTAAGTTTAATGTTTAATTTATTTTTAGTTTAAATGGTAACTCAAATTTACTGTGTAATATATACCAGTATCGATTCTAATTGAAGTTGTAGAATGTTTGATTTTACTTGATTCTAAAAGTTTATATAAATTCATCATATGGATTTATTTATTTTCTTATCAAATTTTTCCATAGCAAAAATTAAATTACAAGTCTTTGTGTATTTACCGTATTCGTTAATAAAGAAAAAAGCCAGATTTTGTATTACTTTACATCAGCAAATTATATAAACGTAATCTTACGTAAGTTATTACAGACCGAAAAATTCCGCAATAATTACGATCGATGTGGAATATTTCGCAATTTTTAATTACGGAATATTACGAAATATATTAC